TGTGTAAATAATCCTTCATCAAAAAAAATAATAATAATCCTTCATCTGTGCATAATCACAATTTGTCTTCTTCCTTCTACTTCTCCTTTTTTTGTTTTGTTAATTTACCTTCTGTCACTGGATGGTACTTCCTGAACCAACGATGAATTGAAGTCATGAAAGATCACATCCTTGTTTTGTACATTATTTTTAAAACCTACGTATAGTGTGTCACTTCTGAATATGATGCCTGTTAGAGGTTTTATGCAGATTTCTCTGAACGAGGTTAAGGTAAATTCTTTCTATTCCTAATTCGCTAATACAATCTTTCCTGAATAAATGTAGAATTCTAGCAAATGTTTGGGGCTTTGTTTTTGATATCTGAGATCATCTTAACCGTTTCCTCCTTTAATTTATTAATGTTGTTGGTTGCAATTTTCGTGATTGCTGCCATCCAGTTGATGCTGACTTATGGTGATCCTAGAGGACAGGCTAGAACTGCCCAGCCCTGGGAGTTTCTGAGATGGTGACCCCTTACACGAGTAGAAAGCCCCACCTTTCCTCTCGGAGCAGCCAGTGGTTTCAAACTGCTGACCAAACTGCTATTGGGGTCAGCAGCCCAGCGTGTAACCACTCCACCACCAGGGTTCTTGCTTGAATTACAGCTGTTAAGATTTGATCTCATCTCTCTGAGAATATTAGCCATGGATTTTAAAGTGTTTTAGCTTTTTAATATTCTTTTCCTTGTATGACTAACTTTTATTTCCTCCATGTCTGTGTGTTTGGGTCTCAGTCTTTCACTTCGCACTTTCCTGAAATACCTAAGAATCATAGGCAATTTGCTCCTATTTATGTATGAACTGTTGAAGCTGGATCAGGAACTTAGAGTACATACTGGTGCTTGTCAACTGTAGGCTTTATTGTGGGGTGATTTTTCTAGACCATTTTGTTGGGAAATCCCCAATGTCAGTACTTAAGTTCTGCCTTTTGGCCATGTCAAAGAGTCCAGAGAATGATCTTCCAATATCCAGATGAACTATAAAACTCTAGATGCCAATATTCTAGAGGGAAAAAAAGTGGAATGGTGAAGAAGATAAGTCAGGGGTTGGTTACCACATCCACCATGCGTATTCCTTTGCCACTTCTGTCTGGCGTCCCCCCAGTCCTGGGGCTCTTGCTTCCTTGATTCCTGTGTTGCACTCTCTCCGTGTTTTCCGCGGGGGTGGACTAGGGGAAGTCAAAGTAGCACAGCTCCATGGAGGAGGAGAGGGGAACTTGGGATTTACTTAATTCAGAAATACCTTTGGGCCACTACTCCCTACTTGACTTCCCACTCATGAATGACCTAGCGTGGACACTTTGTGAACTCTCTGGGTATGCTAGAGGAGAAGTCAAGTTCTTGCTTTTACCTGGAGGATTTAGGATTTTACTTTCTTGGGCCTGATAAGCTAATTTACTACTTCTCGGTCTGCGTTCCAATTTTCAATGTTAGTGCTATTTTCTTCTCCAATTCTTCTATCCTTGTGGGGACTAGCCTTTAAAAAATATCTTATGATTCAGAAAAATGTTTGGAGGTGGAGGGACAATAGATGCTTCTACTCAATCTGCCTTCTTTACAAAGATGGCCATGGATAGATTGTTCTCACTTTCAATCAGCATAGCCTGGGATACATAAATAAATTCACTATTATATATTACCTCTTTCATATCAGCGGAATTCATTTAGAAAAGGCCTGGAAATCTGCTTCTATAAATATTACCTCAAAGTGGATGGGCGTCAATGTAAAACTGAAAACTCATTACTTTCAGAGGAAAACACAGGAGGAATATCTCCATGAACCAGGAGCTAGACAAATAATTTTTAGACACGATTAAAAAAAAAGAAAAAGATTAACAGGTTGAATTTCATCAAAATTTAAAACATTTGCTGATGCTACAGTCTCAGAGAAAATATGTGAAAATTATATACTCATCCAAGGACTTGGATGTAGAATGTACTTTTTAAAATTTTCAAAACTCAAAAATAAGAAAACCAATCAGTCAATTCAAAACTGGGTGAAAGGCTTGAACAGAGACTCCACCCCAAAGAGTATATATATATGGGTGGCATAGTAAGCCCATGATACGTACTATGTTCACATTGGGTAATTAATATTGAAAACCACAACAAAATACTACAGACGATGGGTTGGCAATTTCTTATCAAGTTAAGCCCGGTTGCCATGTGACATAGTAATGCCATCAGTGGTGACTTACCCGAGAGCAGGGTTTCTCGACAGGCACACCAGGGACATTCGCCTTGTGGGATGTTTCTAACAGTAGCTCTTGCCTCTCTACTCACCGGATGCCAGTAGCACCACCACCCTCCTGCCCCAGGTTGTGGCAACCAAAAATATATCTCTAGGTTATTGCCAACTGTGCTTTCAAACCCAAACTATCCTCACTGGCCCCGAGATGAAGGGAAAATTAACGCTTGCATCCACAAAAAAACCTTAAAGGAATTTTTATAAGGAGAGTTTTACTGACAATTGTCCAAACCTTAATGGGTGAGTGAACAAACCAACTGTGGCACACCCAATAAAACAGAATACATTCTCGATACATATACTAGTCTGTCTGTCTGTCTCCTCAGTTATAGGCTATATAATCCCATTTACATGACATTCTGGAAAAGACAAAATTGTTGTTATAAAGAACAAATTAGTGTTTGTCAAGGGCTCGTGTGGGGGTATAACTATACAGTGGTAGCATTAGGGGAACAGAATTGTTCTGTATCTTGATCTCAGTAGTAGCTACACAAATCTGTACACTGACTCCTCACTTATGGACAAAGGCCAGGTGGAAATCAAGATGTGGAGGTGAAGGGTGGTCACATCCGGTCACAAAACGGAGGGGAACTACATTATTATCTGACTGTCAACCCGCTTGCATTGTCACAGCCAATGTTATTTTCACTTCACATCACAACATTCATTACCGTCAGATGTACATTCACTCGTTAATGAGCAAAATAGTCGAACAGTAGATTTCTTATTACTATTATAAATGTGAAATGTCAGATAACAATACAGTTAAAAAGTGAGGAGTAGGTGTCCATAAGAGTATGTTATCACTCATATAACTGTATCAAAATCAAGTTTTATGCAATGGTCATTTAAAGTATAAAATGGTTATAATACCACAATGAAATAATTAATGTGAGATTAAAGAATCTGGGATTCTACTATAAAATGTTCTTGTGAAATTAAAGGGCTTGAAAGACACACAAAGAAGAAATCAACCAAATTAACCTGCTGTTGACTATTCTAAGTTTTTCAATTAGCAATAATCACGCCTCGTGTAAACCTCATTGGCTAAGATATTGCCACTGCTCAAAGCTATTCTAAATGTTTTATTTCACAAATATTTCAAGTAAGTAAAAGATGATCTACATCTTTATAAACTAAAACGTGTACTTCAGCCCCTGGCCTAAATTTTCTAGTTTAGATCATAACTTCTCCTCAAAGATTGAAAAAATGGACACTTATGATATTTGCTATGCCTGTAAGTCAACAGCAACTAGAAGGCAGTGAGTTTGGTTTGTACTGCTTAAACTTGTATGGAATAAGCAAAATGAGGTAAAATCCATCATTTGAAAATACTATATTCCAAGGCTTAAAAAAAATCCCACAATTGAATGAGATGGTGTATCCTTTAAATATACTTTTATGGTGGCTCCTTCACCCTAGGCTCTTGATTCACTGTGTCATTTTGCCTAGTAACGCACAGAGCCCATTATTGGCCAATGATTATAAACTCAGGCAAGGACTCAATCCTTATCCACGCTAATGAAAGACAACCTCGAAGTTCAGGAATGAACGGCTGGTGTCTCCATGACTTTGCATTTGCATTTGGTTTTAGATTTACTTCCCTTTCTGTTCTCTGGAGACAGAGTACAGCTGTTGAGCAGTCTTTATAAGAATGATTTCTTCTAGAAATTTCCCAAGGGCCATTACTAAGTGTGAGAAACCCTGGGAAGACCACAACAGACTTGTATATGAGTCACTTTCCATCTGCATATGGTTAAGTGCACTCACAGCACAATTTTTAGCAAATAAAAAGGGGGGAAATTTTAAGGGAAGAAAATGAAGCATCTACTTGTTGCCATTTTGAGCGTTTAAATTGTCCATTATTTGCATGAAGGAGAGCAGAGGGCAGAATGATCTCAGTGCCTTGCACTTTGTCCTTCTAAGATCTATTCTCAAAATGTCATAGTTCAAATGGAAGCTCTTGTTAGAGTTCCCTACATCTCTCAACTGCAGCGAGGGGAGTTCTAGCCCCCATTCCCTCAAAACCCATGCTCTCAACAGAATCCACAATGAGTCGAATGGCAATGATAACAGGGGGCAGGAAGGCGATACTACAGATCTTGAACTGTAACTAGTTAACAAAAGCATGGGGGGCTGAGTCATCATCTACTCAAGTCTACAGAAAGACTCTATAGCATGAGTAGACTGAGGCTAAGACACATAAATACTCCATGGCCACAGCACTGAGGCCCTCCCTCCGCGCCCCCGCCTGCCCTCCCCCTGCCTGCAGGCCAGAGCTGTGAGTCAGTCAGTCAGGATAGAGTCACTAGGAAGTAAGGTCATCCTCCGGTGGAAGGGAGACATGCAAGGTGTGAGTTTCACAGCCTAGACTCTGAACATTCGGGGAGCCTGCACATCTAGTTAGGGTCAAACAGGACATCACCGAGCCTGTGCAAAGAACTATGGGCATTTCTGTTTTCATCGCACTGAGTTCCCTTGAAATACTATGGCCTCAAAATGGCGTGAGGAATTGACTGTCGCAGGAAAGAAAGGCAGTTTCATTTGTTCTAGAAACTCCATTTGTGCTAGAAAACCTTATGACCTGGTTTTATAATCAAATGTCGGCGTAAAGATTGCATAGGGATTTCTGCAGGGTACATTGCCTTTTAAATGAACCCCTCAGAGTACATGTGGGGGTGAAGAATACAAAGAGTGTACAGAATATAGAATTACCATTTGGATGTAGCTTTCTTCCACCTCTCTGGAAATAGGATTGGCAAAAAATCTTGCAGAATGAATACCATTTCTTTCTGGAGAGAGAAAGCTGGTTCGATTGCTAAGAACAAAAACACAGATGAGGTCAGAGCAATGTCTTACAGCTGCTCTGAAAGCCGGCCAGGGACGGCCAGGGCACCCAGGGGACTGCGGCGCTCCCCCTCCAGACACAACTTCCTTCCGGCAAAGCAATTCCTGAGCAGCAAAGACTACCCAGCAGCTTCTGGCCCACTCTGAGGCAAATGGCTCCCAAGTCTCAAAACTCTTCCCACCCCCCACCCCCCCAGGGCTACATTTGACACAACTCATGAGATTTCTAGAAACAGAGCAAGGCATCACATCATTTAGCAAAAGACACTCCTTTGGGACTCTCTTGTTTCCACACCAAGTAATCGGGAAGACCCAGTGTGATGGGTCCCCTCATAGGATAAAGCACAAGACTCCAAATAAATGTCCATTTCGGACTCCAGAGTCAGAAGCAGAGGCTGAGACTCTCTGAAGTCTTGCTGGGAATACAGCCCCCGTTGCAGAATTCCACTTCGGAAAGTGTGTCTAGTGTTATGTAGACTGAACCCAGAAACTCCCATGCTAGGATCACAACCCTGAAAACACAACTTCCCCACAGTAAGATGTGAGTATGTAGCTCTACTGGGGAGTATCTGGCTACCTAGCCCATGAAGCACCCCTCCTTTTCTGACAACTCCCTTCCCCGACCTGTAGAAAACCCTGGGTTTCTGGAAGCCATGCTGGTGCTACTGACCCTAGCCCCTGGGTCGCACAGCTGATGGAACTCAGGCTGGGATAAGACAAGTCTCTTGCCCAGGACATCTGAATTGGGACTGGAAAAGAGCACTTCTCCGTAGGTCCTGGCATTGTAACAGTTAAATAAAGAATCCCAGGAGCTCCGATTTGACCCTCTTTGTGGGGATTATGGAATCGCACAAAGAACAAAGAGCTCAGCAAAGAAAAAGAAATAAGCAAAAGGAAAGAGAGAAATAGACATGAGAGGTGGAGAGAGAGGCTTCTTTGAATTCCCAGCAGTTCTCTAGTTCCTGGCTCCAGTATCCTAGGAGACTCCATTATAGTCCTTCTTTGTGGTCTATAAACACCTCTGGCTCCTAAGAGTAAATCCTGCCCCTCTTTTTGCTTCATCTAGGTCAAGGAGCTTTCACTACATTTACTCAGAGGCCCAAGGGAGACAGGGTTTTGTCTGTGCTGAATGCTGTCCTTGTAAGTTCTCAAAGACTTACCAAGGCACAGTGAGAGTCCTGGTTAGAGATGCATGCTCCCGGATGGTGGAGAGGTTTCTCAGGTCCAGTGGAGGTGGCCGTGCTACAAGACAACACATGGGATTCTGTGTGGTAAGTTCTCAAGATTGCAAGGCCAAATTCAAAGACCGTTAAAATCTCATATTCGACTCTCCTCATGTACCAAATCCAAATATACTAGCAAGTAGCCCATTAAGAAATGTGAACCTGCCTGTCTCACTGGGAGAAAAGAGCATGACTATCGAGCAAATGGACACATTACATTCAACACATGTTAAAAATGAACCTTGTGTCTAGGATATGTCATTAAAGTAGAAAGGGGGGAAAAAAAACAAACATAAAAGAAGTAATACTTGAAAATCTTCTTGAGTCCCAAGCAACACCTGTCCTATGTAACCACTCTACATTTAGTGGTTTTATTCCTAAATGTTGCCCACATTGTATACTGTCCTAATTCTGACCAATTCCATGCCTTCTAACTAGAAGCTTTTATAGTAATGAACTAGACTTACGATATACATTTCGATGTACAACGTAGATTCTGTACTTAATATAGATTCGACATTTTCTCGGGTTACTAAATTTAGATTGACTTTTTGGCATTTTAACAGTTTTATCATCGACATATAATTCACATCTCATACAATCTAAGAGTTTAAGTATATTAAAAGAGTTGTGCAATCACCACTACAATCAAATTTGGAACATTTTCTTCTTTTTTGGACTTATTAGCTCCCCATTTCCCACCAAGCTCCCCTGCCATAACCCCAAGAAACTATTGATCCAGTTACTGTCTCTATTAATTTACCTATCATAGATGTCATATACAGAAAGACAGACTAAAACAAAAATCAACAAGACCTCAACCTATTATTTGTTGCTCCTTTTGCCTCGTTTAAATTTGTTCCAATTTTTAAATTATTTGCTATCTTTTCCACACATACTGATTGAGAATTCACCGCATGCCAGACGCTCTCTCGGGTGTTGAAGGCGTAGTATGGATACAACAGGCCCAAGTCCCCACCCTTATAGAACCCTAATGCCTACCTCACATTCAGCAAGTCCAAAGTGGACATTTTACCTTCATATCATAGGCAGAAGTCTTCTTTCCGCAACTCCAATTCATTCTCTACCTGCCAGGCCTTCTGCCTGTAATCAACATGCTCATCTTCATGTCCTCGGCTCGGGGACGCTCTCTTTGACCTCCAGATGAAGCCAGGCTCCACCAGATGAGCTCCCATGTTTAAGGAGACATTCATCTGAGGTCATCTGACTCAGGCCTTGATGGGGCATTCCATGAGGACGTCTAGAAGGGTCTGGCACACAGGAGGTGCTCTGATACCTATTCCACCGTAGTGGTCCAGCCGGCTGAGTTTTTCCCACATGTATCCCCAGCTCACTGTCTTATCGGGTTGTTTGTAGCACTTTCCTCCATTAGCTGATACGGATAGAGATTGCTTACTTCTTCTCCGTATCACTGGAGCTAAGGACTGTGCCTGCTCTATAGTAGGTCTGCTAAACAAAACTACACCTTAAACATGGATTCCTTATCAAATAAAAGATAGATCTTGTCAGAGGTTCTCCTATCTACAAAGTAGGTGAATTATATTTCAATTCCGTGGATTAACGTTGTTTTGAACTCACTAGTCAAACTAAATTTCTAGAATTAGAAACCCAAAAGGTCAGAATGCACTCAACATTTCTGAAACTGAAAGAGCTCAAGAAAAAAATTCAAGCCTCGAGTTGCAAATCTGAATGATTCTATAGGCAGAAAATTGAGTGATGCAGGAGACATCGAGAGGAGACGGAAAGAATACACAGTCACTGTACCAACAAGAACTAGTTGACATTCCACCATAGCAGGAGGCAGCATCTGAGCCAGAACCAATGGTGCTAGAGGAAGAGGTTCACACTGCACTGAATGCATTAGCCAAGGACAAGGTTCCAGGAATTGATGGAATACCCATAGACATGCTTCCAGCAAACCAAAGAAGCACTAGAAGCACTCTATGCCCAGAAATTTGGAGACAGCTACCTGGCCGACTGAGTGGAAGAGACCACTATTTGTGCCCATTCCCAAGAAAGGTGACCAACAGAATGCTCAAACTACAGCATTGATATCACACACAAATACAATCTTGCTTAAGACCATCCAACAATGGTTGCAGCAGTGCATTGTCAGGGTACTGCCAGAGGTTCAGGCCGGATTCAGAAGAGGATGTGGAATAAGGTCTATCTTTGCTGATGTGAGATGGATCTTGGCTCAAAGCAGACACACACACACACACACACACACACACACACACACACACCAAAAGATGTTTATTGGTGTCTCATTGACCATGCAAAGCCATTTGACTGTGTGGATCATAATAAACTGTGGATAACCTTGGGAAGAATGGGAATTCCAGAACACTTCATTGTGTTCATGAGGTCAAGGGGGCAGTAGTGTGAACAGAACAAGGGAGCACTGTGTGGCTTGAAATCAGGAAAGGTGTGCATCAGGGTTGTCTCCTCTCGCTATACTTATTCAATCTGTATGCTGAGCAGATCGTCATGGGAGCTGGATTAAATGAAGAAGAATGTGGCATCAGGATAGAAGGAAGGTTTATTAACAATTTGCAATATGCAGGTGATTTAATCTTGCTTGCTGAAAGTGAGGAAGATTTGATGTACTTGCCGATGAAGATCAAAGATTGTAGCCTTCAGGAAGAATTACAGCTCAGGGTAAGGAAGACCCAAATGCTCACCACTGGACCAACAGGGAACATCATGATCAGTGGAGAGAAGGTCGAAGTTGTCAAGGATCTGGCTCCACAATCAATGTTCTTGGAAACAGCAGTCAAGAGATCAAAAGATGTATTGCATTAGGTAAATCTGCCACACAAGACCTCATTAGAGTGATGAAGAGCAAGGATGTTCCCTTGAGGACTACGGGTGCACCTCACCCAAGCCCTAGTGATCTCCATTGCATTGTATGCATGTGAAATGTGGACATTAAACAAGGAACAGTGAAGAAGAATCGATGCATTTGAATTGTGGTGCTGGAGAAGAATATTGAAAGTACCCTGGACTGTTCAAAGGACAAATGGATCTGTCTTGGAAGAAGTATAAAGGCAGAGGGCTCCACAGATGCAAGGATGATGAGACTTTATGGTCTGTGGTTTGGACATGTTGTCAGGGGACCAGTCCTTGAAGAAGGACATCGTACTTGGTAAAGTGGAAGGCCCTCAAGAAGATGGATTGACACAGCGGCTGCATCAATGGGAACAACTGGAGCCGACTCGATGGCACCTGACAACAACAACAACAATCAAACTAATTGCAATCTTTGTAAGTTAAGAAAATGCATTTCAAGGGCTTACATTTCTATCTACTGTTTTCCAAATCTGGGCAGATGTATGACTGTGGATTGGAGGAAGATATCTGCAACAAGTCCACGAGCATCTAGCGAAGTTTCCTGATTGGGTGGCTAAAGCAGCTGGAAACCACCCATAGGAATCAAATGACAATGGTGTTGGTACTTTAGGGTTATCATGAATGGAATCATCACCTGTGCAAGGGTCCAAGGCTGGTTTAACATTCAGAAATCAATTAATGCAACTGTATATGTGAAAATGTTGGATTGGCAAATGTTAAGTTATGTATATATTTAACATAACTAAAGTTTTATCTTGAAAGCAAAAACGGAAACACCAAGCAATGTATTTAGTTGTATCCACAGGCTAAAGAAGAAAAAGGCTCTCACATCCAACATCCATTCATGAAAAAACCTCTCAGCACATTAGGAATCTAGAAATCTCTCAAATTGATAAAAATAAAAAACACCTACAAAAAAAAATCTACAGCTAACATCCTTAATGGTGAGAAGTAGATGCTTTGCCTCTAAGACTAGGAAAAATGGCAAAGGTGTCCTGGTTGATGCAATAAATCAACAAAAATAAGGAAGAAATAAAAAAAATTGTCTGTCCAGATGACATAATTATCTATGTAGAAAATTCCAAAGAAATGACCCAAAAAACTCCTGGAACTAATAAGCAGTTGTGGGAATGATGTACAATACAAGGCTAATATGCAAGTGAATTGTACTCCTAGATATCAGCAATGAAAAATTGGAATCTGAAAATAAGAAGGAAAAAAAAAGCACTCCTTAAAACAGCAACCAAAAATGAAGTACCACTTCGGTATGTTGTTGTTTTGGGTGCAGTCAAGTCAGTCCCCGTCTTAACACAAGGAGACACGGCCCGGTTGGAGCCCATTACTGCAGCCACTAGAGGGCCTTCCTCTGTTGCCTTGTCCTACTTTACCAAGCAGGATGGCCCTTTCCACAGGCTGGTCTCTCCTGATAATATGCCCAAAGTGCATGACACTTGGTTATAAATGTAACCAAATATATATTTTAAAAATCTAGATAAGGAATAACTCCGATGAAAGTACTCAAAGATTTGGGGATATGCAAAATAGGACGACTGTCTCATGGGGAAAGACCGAGACAGGGAGCCATGGTACTGTTCTTCCCAACTCGATCTAGAGCTTCAACCCACACACAACCAATCAGATGCAAGAGACCATGCCGACTCATAGCAACCCTAGCGGACAGAGTAGATAAGCTCCTTTGAGTTTCTGAGACTGGGACTGTTTGCAGGAGTAGAAAGCCCCTTCTTCCTCCAGCAGAGTGGCTGGTGGTTTCAAACAGTTGATCTTTCAGTTAACAGCTCAACACTCAACCACAAAGCCACTAGGGTTCCTCTAGCTTCAACACAATCCTACTCAAAATCCCAGCAAGCTATTGTGTAGATATCAACAAGCAGATGATAGAGTATCTATCCAAAGGCAAAAGGCCCAGAATAGCAATCCTGAACAAGAACGAAGTTGGAAGACTGATAGTGTATGGCTTCTGGAGTTGCTATTAATCCAGACATCGTGGTAGCGGCAAAGGACCAGACAACTAGATCAATGGTACAGAAGAGAGAGCCCAGAAATAGACCCACGCAAATAAAGTTAACCGATTGTTGAAAAAGGAGTAAAAGCAAGTCACTGGAGAAAGGACATCCACGTGCAAAAAACACATCTAAATACAGACCTCACAAATTTTGCAAAAAGGGAACTGAAAAACTGGATCATAGACCTAAATGTAAAAGGCAAAACTATCAGGCTATAAAGCTTGTAGAATAAATGACTTCAGGTCTGGAGATGAATTTTTAGATATTGTACCAAAGGCGAAATCCATAAAATGAAAAATGGATAGGCTGGATGCAAGGCAGAGGGAAGGGGTTCTCAAGGGAGAGTCGAGGTCAATCTGGGGCACCTTGGAACCCCATCTCCAGGGAGCAAGGTCCTGGGGATGGGGAGGGAAACAAGGTAGGTTCAGAGCCCCCACCCCACCCCGAGGCTAGATGGTGCACCCTGCGCCTGACACCACCTCCCTTTCCTTCAAGTCTATGTTTACCAAGTAACCTTTAGCCTCTCCAGTTGGTTTCCCAGGAGTCTCAGTCAGGGCCTGGAGACAACCCATGGGACGTGCAGACCCTCAGGTACCACGTTCTCCGGATTGCGTGACGCCCTGGCCTCCAGCTCCTCCTCCAGCCCCCCTCTGGCTCAGCCTCTGTGCTCTCCGGCTTGGGCCCACACTCCATCCCGGTGGTCACATTTGTCTCCCATTGTGGTCTCGGGTCTAGTGAATCCCCAACATCAAGTCCATCCAACCAACTGTCATCGCTCCTCCTATTCTCAGGTCCTATAGAGTTGTATGCATCAATATGGTGGCCACCAGGCAAATGTGGCTATATACACGTAAATGTAAACTATTAAAATGAAGTAATGCTTAAAATTCAGTGTCTCAGTTACACTAGCCACATTTTAAGTATCCAATAACTACATTTCCATGGTCACAAAAAGTTCTGTTGGACAACACTTCTGTCCAAAATGTCATTGAGCCAAACAATAATCCTCACCTCATGTGAAAGTGTTTCTGACCAGCATGAATGATGATTTCCCTGGAGCCTCAGGAGACAGCATCTGTTCTCCGACTTAGTACTGACTTCATAGTTCTTCTTCTTCCAGGTGGTTTTACATGTCTTCCTCCCCCTCAGACAAAGAGCTGTCCTGCTGTCCTCATTTCTGCCTCCCACCCAGTGCCTAACACAGCTCGACACGCAGAGCAAATGCACTGGCACTGTGAGGGTGGTTTGCCTCCAGTTGACTAGCTTTGGATAGAGCCACCTCAGGGGATGGTTTATCTAAAGGGGAGGGAGGGGACAGGGGGGAGGGGGGGAGACAGACCAAAGGGAGGGCCAGAATATTTCCTGGTAATCATTCACACCATCTGGCTGGGCAAGAATGAAGCCAGCCAGTTGCTTTGACCAGTGTTTCCCCTACCCCTCTGCCTGTCTATCTCCCCATCTGTCCACGGTGCTTAGCAGATCACAAAAGGGGACTGGGAGTCATGCAGAAGCTGCACACAGAACTCGTACTCTCTTCCCCAAACGCCTCTGTTGATGAACATGCTCAGAACAGTGCGTGCCTGTGGCCAGATCAGCACATTCAGGAGTTCGTGTCAAAAGCCCTTCCTGGCTGCCTTCTTCCTGGACTTCTGGGGAGGAGAGAAGCCACAGAGGAGCCCTGTGGAATGGATTTGGCTTTGTAGGTCCTATTTGAGAGCCATGATGCCTGTAAGTTCCTAGGCCCTCGGACCCTGTCTGCCTGCTGACTCTTTCTATTGGCCCCAGCCCTCCCCCATTCTAGCCCCGTCACTTCTCTCTCACCATCACTTTTCAGCCTGCTGAGCTGATTTGCCTAGCGCCTCTCTTCCAGAGAAAGTCAGGACAAAAACCTCTTCTAAGCAGCTGCCAGGACCATACTCCACTCTCTGCATAGCAGGCCTGGTCAAGCGACTTACGTTTCCTTTGAGGCTTGAGATCTCGGTTCACCGGAGGAGGCTCCAGGTCCATTGGTAGCTCAGGCAGTGGGGTTGAGATGTTCACTGAGCTCATCGGGATGTACTCATCCAGGCTGGCGTGGGGTCCAAGCCCCACGGCAGCAGGGCCGGGGCCCATGGGCATGTAGCTATCTTCAGCACTGGCTGGAAAAGCTGTGGGGCTCACCGCAGAGAACCTACAGGGCTGTAAGAGAACAGGGACATGTTGGGAACCACAGGCCAGTACGGACGCTCCTACTTGTGGGTAGCTGAAGCTGTGCATATGTTTTCAGCTCCAGATTATTCTAGAATAATTGGGAGCTTCCTTAGGAAAGGCAAGCAAGCTTCTAATTCAGGCTCTGCCTCTCACCTTAACGTGATTCTCCTAGATCTGATGCCAGAAGAGAGAGATGCATGAATGGGTGCACATCTCTTAAGTAGAATGTAACATCTTAAGTAGCCACCCCCAGTTGAGCAAGTACTTGGATTAGAAAAGGGCAGTTGGTGACTCTCATACACTTTACAAACAAGTTCAGATCTTAAGGGAGACTGAAGAGTTCCGTCCTCAGGTTGCTTAGTGTGGAATCTCCAAAGTCTTCAAAGGACTATGTGAACTTAAGGCTACAAGGCAGCTGAGTACTGAACTTACCAAATTTAAACTAAGCCTCTTGTCTCGGTGTCGTAAGGGCTGGCCTTCTACGTCTGCTGCAAGAAACAAGGTGGATGGTTACAAATGCAGGCACCCCTTGAAACTAGGGTGCACGTCTCCCTGAACTCCACTCTCATGAGGTAGAAAATTATAACACTGACTCTCGTTGGGCTGTGAGATGGAAATATATCAGGTCATTAACAAATGCTTATTGTATTTATTACATGAATCACGAGACTAGAGATGGGGGAGGTAGAACTGAGGTTGAGTTTATTTTGACCCACAGCCATCTTCCATAGGGTTTCTGAGGCTTTCAATCTTTAGGGGACTAAATAGCCCTATTTTCCATGCAAGGAGCAACTGGTGGCTTTGAACTGCTGACCTTGCGGTTAGGAGGCCACCACTCATTCCATAAGGTCATCAAGGCTGGGAGTGGCCCTTGTGATGAGTAAGAGATGGGGCTGACCAGAAACACAATAGCATTGAGGGTCTGGTTGAGATGTGTGGCCATGATCTTCTGTATCAAGTGTCAGTCAGGTAGAGATGCAGGCAGTTGGTTCAGTCAAGGTCAGATGGGATGGGTGTGAAAGATCAACAGACATAAAATTTGTGAATAATTGTTGAATTTAAAGAGAGGCCCCAAAGGCCACAAGATATTTGAGCCTGGAATCAGAGGAAATGGCAGGTAGCAGTTGAGAGTATTGAGAGGAGTGTGGGCACAAGCCCCAGGACTCAACAAGCAGCAGGCCTAGCAGCTCTGGAAGGCACTGGGTCAGGAAAGCCTCCGGCAAGGAAAAGGGGCCAATGAGGCGGGACATTGCTGAGAAGTCCAGCAAGCGTCGGGGGCCGAAGCATGTGGAGATATGCAGGATGGGATTGCCTCTGAGAAATAAATAAGTGTATTTGCACAGAGCTTGCTATATGTAGAAAGGCTCCCTGGTGATGCAATAGGTAAGCACTAGTGGCTGCTAGCTGAAAGGTCACTCTGAGTTGGGCTGGACTCGACAGACGGAATACTTCTATTGAAGGAGGGGTAGATGCTGGTGACACACTGCAAGCCCTGTTCCACCACGGGAGAAAGATAAGGCTTTCTACTCCGATAGAGTTCGTTACAGTCTTGGAAACTCAGTTTTCATTTGTTTGTTTTTAAACTCCCCCAAGGAAAAGGTGCAATTTTGTTTGCTTTTGTTCACTCCACCCCATACTAGCTGTGCAGCATGAACACGCTCTTGTCAGTTTCCTCATCAGAGATCGGGGATAGAGTGTATTTCATAAGACTGCTGAGAAGGTTGTGTGTGTTAATATCAGTAAGGAACACAGAAGACAAACAATCTGGCACTTGTTAGGGATGTTGTTAATAAAGATCCCTACTACAATTAGTACAGAAGAGCCTAAATCTAGAGAAAGCCCTGCACCAAAAGGCTCAGTTATCCACATGCCTGAGCGTGGGAGGAGTCTTGGAGAGCATGCAGGCGAGGTCAAACTAAAGGAAGGCACCAGGTGGATTGACACCCGCACTTGGGAAACATATGTTGAGAACGCTCACACTCAGAGCTCCACTGCTGCTCTCTCACCAGACTTTCGGACTTGTATTTCTAATGATTTACCTGACATTTCCACCAGATATCTCAAGCTCAACATATACCAAAGCAACTTCTTAAATACCCCTCGCCTATTCGAGTTTGTTTCTTGTCTTAGGTTATCAAACCTAAAACCAGGAAGTCATCCGTTATTTCATTCATTCTCATAAACCCCACATCCAACCATGAAGTTGTGCCTTCAAGATCCATCTTGATCAGGATACTTCAAACAGTCCACCACTTTGTACAAGTTCGGAGACTGTTGCTCTGGTCACCATCGCTGGCCCAGATTAGGCCATTAATCCCCAGGCTGCTTTTCCTGCTTCTACCCTTGACTCCCCCTTCAGTCTATTCTCAACACAGCAGTCGAAGCCACTCCCTGCAAATGTTTCCTCAAATCTCTTAATAAGAATTAGCTTGGTTTCCTTTCCTCTGCTCCACTTTCTTTTTCCAAAGCACCTATTATTTTCTAATGCATCATATACCATTTACTCGATTTCTTTTCTTTCTCCCATAAAACAAGGTTGAGGAAGGAAGGGATAGTTTTCTTCATTTTACATAGACTCATACACTCCGATAGTTATACTGTGAGAAGGCTTCCTCTCAGCTGGTTCCCACAGCTTGGCAGTCGCATCTCCAGAATGGGTAGGGATGGGGCTGGGGGGGGCAGGGGTGTTACCAGTCTCCTGCAGAACTTATAAAAGTTTATTCTAGGAGTATATATTCCTATCTATATGAATTCACTTTTAATACAAACAGTATCATCTTAAACTACCTGCTCTGCAACTTTTTTTCCAGATCGTGTTTTAGGGAGCAGTCCGAGAAACTCATTGGTATTATAGTCCAGCCTACAGATACACCATCACTTATTTGACTAGCCTATTTATATTTTCTATCCAGTTCATTCCAACCTTTTGTTCTTAAAGGACATGAATGGAGGCCTCCACCCCCACACTGAGAAGAAGACATGACTTCAAAAGTAGATCTATTTCACTCAGGAAAGAAATTGAAGGGGAAAAAATTAACTCAGAAAAGAAGTCAAAATTACAAGATGCACAGGAAAGAAAAGATTTGCCCCCAATTTTTAAAAACAAACAAAAGAAACCTGGGATGACTTTGCACATCTCAATGCAAGTAAATACTAAAACCTAGAGGAAAGAGATGATTTCAGAAGAAACACAGTATATCAGATTTCCTTTCAAAAGCACCGGAGGTGATTCCAATGTGGATTTCTAGCAAACTCTCAGAGATCAGAAGTTCAATGCTAGATAATTTATTCCCAAACATAGAAAGTCAAAGAATACTTTTAATTCTTCTTAGTTAGCAAGTTTAACACCAATGGTTAAACCTGATAAAGATAAAATAAGGAGTATTATTAAAAGCCAATATCGCTGATGGTTATCAATGCAAAATGTTGCAATCAGTGCAAGACAAGTCATGATGATCAGCACCTTTGATGCTGTTAAACAACAGAATAAGATATGACTTAGAGACCTGTGCTCATTGCCATTGAATTGATTCTAACTTATTTTGACACTCTAGTACAAACTCTAGGGTAAACCCAGGGTAGAACTGATCCTGTGGGTTTCTGAGACTGCAGAAAGCCTCATCTTTCCCCTGAGAAGCAGCTGGTGGCTTCGAACAGCTGGCCTTACAGCTAGCAGTCCAATGAGTAACTCCTATGCCACCAGGGCTTCCAATGGGGATTGAATTGATTTCATAAAATTCTGTGCCCCTGGACATTATTGAAAATAATAGGTGGCAAACTTGGGGTGGCAAACCATCAGGGAAGGCCAGCATGCAGACAGTCTGAAGTCTTGGCACTGGTTGGAGCAAGCAGAAGAGCATCAGAACAGCCAGAAGTCTAACAAAGACGGAGACAACGTAAGTGGGTCGTAATATGTTCTCATTCATCCCGAGGAGTTTGGAAAGCTATGTGCGCGTGCAAGTCATGTTCAATAAGGAGAGGTCAAAGAGAGCCCAATCTAATTTGCTTGTCCCTGGCAGAACATGAGGCCAGGCTACTGGGACAGATTTGCAAACAGTTTGAATCTTTAATGTGTTCCTCAACCCACACACAGATCTATTGGCAAAAGGCAGAGTTTAAGCGCAACTTCTGACAAATAATTGGGTGAATAATAAGTTCTGTTGACCCAGAGGTGACTCCTAGGAAGCCAACCATAAAAATAAAAACCAAGATTACAAGATACAAAAACCAAGCAGTCTCCAGTGGCCACATACTGAGGATAACAGTCACTGGACAAACAAACAAACAATAACCGGGGATGGAGGAGTGGAGAGAATTTAAAGTTGCTACTATACAGTATTCAAAATGTCCAGATTTCAATGCAAATTATAATGCATGCAAATAAGTAGGGAAGATGGGGCAAAGCGTCAATAAAAACCATCTCAGAAGAAGTCTAGATGATGTAATTAACAAAAGAAAGAAAACCTTTAAAATGCCTACGATAAATATGTTCAAAGAACCACACAAAGCCATGTTTAAACAACTAAGGGGGAAACAGTTAAACAATGACTCATCAATAGGAAGACAAATTATGAAAAAGCAGCAAATGAAAAATTATATAGTTAAAAAGTACAATATTAAAATGAAAGATTCACTATGGAGTCACGGTGAAGTGCTTGGCTGCAAACAGAAATGCAGGTCTTTCTGGTCCACCCAGAGGCACATCAGAAGGAAACTGATGACTCAGTTCCAAGAAACCGGCCACTGAACGCCTGTGGAGAACAAGTCCACCCTGACATACACGGGCCACGGAGAGTCCGAATCCAGGCAACAGCAACTAGGGGAAAAAGAGACTCGACAGGAGACCAACCTGGGCGGTAGGTCAGTTGAGGTTATTCAGTCTGGAAATTAGAACTGGAAATAGAATGATGCAAACTAAATAAAGCCTGAGACCTGTGAGGTGCCATCAAGTTTACCAGCGAATGCAGAATGATTGTCCCAGAAGGTGTGGCCAAAACAAAAGGGAAGAAAGAATATTTGAAGAAAGTCTTCCCAAAGCTGATGAAAACCATCAATCAACACATCCACAGAGCTCCAAAGACTGCACGCAGGGAAAAAAGATAGCCACACCTACACACGTCACTGTCAAATTGGTCCGAGAAGATCTTGAAGGCGGAAGAGAACATTGACCCATCATGTGAGCAGGAATCACAGCAGGTGAAATAGCTGATTTCTCATGGAAAATACTGGAACATCAGACAGCAGTGGGATGATACACTCAAAATACGCGAGAAGAAAACACACCTGTAAAACAGGGATTCTGTAGTCATCTTCAAAACGAAGGTGAAATAAAAACACTCCTCCTAAATCAGCAAATATTGAAAAATTTTGCTGGGAGCAGACAGGCCTCCTTCACAAGAAATGCTAAAGGAAAATAACTCAAATCTTCATGAAGAAGTAAAGGGGAAGGGTAAAGTCATCTGAAGAAGTAATAGATTCTGTAACAACAACATAAAGGGAAAAAGAGAGAAAGGAGCTATGTTGGAACAAGGAAATGACACCACGTGATCACTCAAGTCCATAAAAAGAAATAAAGCGATTCTGGCCCTGAATGGCCCTACTCGGGGTTCCCGAGCCTGTAACTCCTTGTGGGCACAGAGAGCCTCATCTTCCTCGTGTGGAGCAGCTGCCGGGTTTGAACTGCCGAACTTGAGGTTAGCAGCCCAATGCCTAACCCACGGCGCCATCAGGACTCCCGAGAAAGAAATCAAGAACACTGCAAATGTTGACTATGTGGGTCACTGTAAAAGGTTCCATAATTACATGTTTTCGACGTATAAATGTGTTTGTGTATTCTTCCACAACAGTTCAGGTACACAGTAGTCGTCAGAACCCTTCACTCCTAACTATTTCAGTGGACATCCGCTAAGAGCAAGGCGACTCTTTTCCATAACCAGGGAACGATGATCAGATCCAGGAAATTTAACACTGATACAATATTATTATGTACAAACACAGTGTATTCAGTCTTTTTTTTCAGTTATGAAATATGAGGATGAGTCAAAAGGTGTTGCTATAAAAATCATAGCAACATTTGTTAATTGTTTGTATGTGTCTGCGCACTCGTTTGTGCACATATGTGTCTATGCATGTATCTAAGAGAGACAGGCCAACATGAAGAGAAGAGTAAACAGTATAGGTAAGTTGGGGAGGCCGTCAAGTCACAAGGAGAGATCCTAGTGGGAGGATAAGGGTGGTAGATGATGGGCAACCCGAGGAGAACAGAGTGCTCTAATGAGGAAAGGCAAAAGAGGGCTCCAGGGGCATGCCACAGAGCCTAGCTGGCGGGGGGACCTGCATTGGCACTGCCCTGAGGAGGATGCCTGGGCCCAAAGTCCTCTCCCTACTGGGCAACCAGATGAGACGCTGAGAGAGGCTCATGGAGATGCTGCAAAGCAGAAGGATGACAGGCTCTGGCCTCCCGAAGTGAGGGAGAGGCAAAGACACCACCTTCCATCCCAAATGACTCCAAACAAGCTGTCTCAGGGAGAGATGCCGTCCCACCAAGGGACAAAGGCTGTGACTAGTTTCAGTATCTGTAGGGTAAGGTGACCAGACGTCCCGCTTTTGGCGGGACAGTCCTGATTTTTAACAATTGTTCCTGCATCCCACGGCGTTTTTAAAAAGTCCCAATTGTTGGAAAGAATGCACGACAAGCTAGGGTACATGGTGTTCGGCTGCCGTGTGGCTATTTCACCGGGATATGAGTTTTATCAATGGTGTCCCACTTTTGTACCGCTTTACCAATGTTCAAATCTGGTCACCTTACTATAGGGAGCCCAGAATCTTTTCTGGTGGTCAGCCTCAGAGCAGGACAATGACTAAGATTCAAGCTTTGTGCTTCCACCAAGTACCTGGCCCCATGCAGAGACGAGGCTGGCTTGAACAAGGGATGTGGGGTAAAGTTCTGGTGCCGGCATGAAGATGGAGGAGGAGCCCAGGTTGGACAAGGAATGAAGAGGCGCTGGGACAGAATCTTAGCAGCTCAACACTTACCTTTCCAGGTTCTCATGTTATCTAAACCCGAGAGAGAGATTCTTCTTGGAACGATGGAGCATTCTGGGTTCTTGATGCGGCTGTGCCCAGTCCAGAGGAGCTGCTCCTGGCGCCGTTCAACGAGATGGCTGGGCTTAGGGGGTCGGGGAGGTGGAGTGTTGAACATAATGTCTAGTTCTTTTACCCCACAGGGCAAGGAACCTTGGTTTTTATCTACCTGAATAGCAGGGTTTAAGGAAGTTTCCAGCAACGGTGATGAGCACAAGTGGTCCCTAGATGGCCCATTGATGTCTCTGTTCCAGATCAGAGCAGCCTGGGGCTTCATGGAAGGCACCTCCTGAGCTCCATTCCCAGGCCACGCGGAGGCCATCAAGTTAGTGGCGGGTAGTGAAGGCAGGCAGTCCACAAACACGTCATCAGATGAAGTCTGTTCCAACGAGCGATCCGAATTTGACCAGCTATCACAGCGAGTGGGTAGACTGAGGGCAGAAAGACAGGAACGTGTGGAAGATAAGAGTGAGTGGCATAGTGATAGTGCTGCCACGGACACCCCAACCCCCACCAACTGCAGAAATCTGAAGCAGAAAGCATGCTGGCCTCATTCCCAGGCCTCTGAAACCACCGGTCCAGCCCTGGGTCCTCTCTAGCCCACAGTTCTGACAAACCCTCTAAGGCAGGGGACCGTGTCTGATACAAGGGTAGAAAGGAAAGCCGTAAGGCTGACACACATGACACATGTTGTTTCGTCGGCTGCTTGCTGCAACTTTGGGGGCTGATAGTGCTCTGCCGCCACTTTGGCAGCTGCAGAGAGAGGTGAGGGCAGACGCACTCACGGGAAGATACAACAGCCCGCAGGACTGCTCTGGGCAGGCACAGAGAGCACAAGAGGGGGGGGCTGTGGACTCAGGGCAACTGCGAGCTGCCCGGGCCTCCGCCTACCTGGTACGGTGCAGCCTTCCCGTCTCACAGTTGGACAGAATCAGATAATCGGGAAGGAAGAGAAAGTCGGAGTCCCGTCTGGGTCTCTCGGCGGCTAAGGTGTTAGCACTTGGGTCCTCTTTGGGCAAGGAGGACCTAGCCGCCTGCGTGGTCCGAAAGGAGTTGGCAGAAGGCTGGAAGGAGGAGGTCGGGCGGGAGAGACGCTCCCCTGACTCTGCTGGAGAAAGAGGTTCCCAGGTTAGCTTGTGAAGAATGGCGCTCCCATCCACTCATGACTTCTCCAACCGCAGCTCAGAAGCCAACTATGAGGATGCAAATCACAGCTGGTGTTTGTACTCAGGGAGAAGACCATTTCCCCGAGCTATAAACAACGTCTAGAGGGAAAGCCAAGGTTCCAAGAGTGAAGTGTTGAATCAATTCAAAGTTTTACAAACAAGCCTTCTTGGCCTAAAACCCTGCAGTTAGATAGTTGACACATAGCTCCTTTATGACCCTCTTGATCCGCCCTGCATCATTGTTTAGTTGTGTGTGTGTGTGTGTGTGTGTGTGTGTGTGTGTGTAACCAAGCTCACTGCCATCAAGTCCAGGCTGAATCTTAGCAAGCCTCTGGGGGTTCCGAGGTTGTCACATTGATAGGAGTAGAAAGCCCAGTCTTTCTCCCAAGGAGCTGCTGGTGGTTTCCAACTGCTGACCCTGAGAGTCGCAGCCCAACACGTAACCACTACGCCACCCAGGACATTGGCTCGCTCGCTCTGTCTATCTCTATATCTATCCATCTACACACACATACATACACACACACGAAATGTTGCACACTCACTTTGGCATGTATACATATACGTGTATGTACAACTCTAGACATTGATAGAGAGATCTATGGGAAGTCTTTCAAAGGGTCCCAAAATCACGGAATTGTTCCATGAGCTTTCTGCACCCTCGACTGCACTATGGGCCTGGAACTGTTCGAACACTGCCACCACAGGGGAGACCAACAGCCTGCCTTCGCTGGAGGTACATTCTACTACAGGCGTCAATAAAGGGGATTGCCGATGACCGCTATAAGCAAAACAAAGGGAAGAATAAGAAGGGGCATAACAGTCTCCCCATCAGAAAACAGCCCTCCAGATGAATCTGACCAGAAGCTGAGAACTGCAGAGTGCAGGAACTCAGGACTCCAAGAGTGGCCCCAAACTGCTCAGGTTCGACTCCAGCTTCTACTACCAAACCTTGACGTGGACAGGAGCACGGAAATTGCACCAAGACCGCTGAATCAGCATGGCGGGAAGATGAGAATGCAATTCACAAAACACAGAAAGCCCTTCAAGATGGTTCTCAGATGAAGAGAACAGCCCTCCCTACCTCCTAAAGCAGCAGTTCTCAACCTGTGGGTCACGACCCCTTTGGAGGTCGAATGACCCTTTCACAGGGGTCGCCCAATTCCTAACAGTAGCAAAATGACGGTGATGAAGTAACAACGAAAACGCTTTTATGGTGGGGGGGGGGGTGTCACACCACCACATGAGGAACTGTATGAAAGGGTCGGGGCATGAGGAAGTTTGAGAACCAGTGGCCTAAAGGCTAACAGGGGGCATAGAGAGCAATGGGGTCATGTGGAGGTCTTCTGGCAGCTTGGTGCTTTCTGCCTGGCTCTTCACTCATTCTTGTTCATTTGGGTTTCTTGGGAAGCATGCTATTTACGTCTGTGTGTTTGGGGGAAACTTTTTAAACTTCTGAGTGCAGAAAGAGACAGAAGAGAAGCAAAACAAGATATACAATATGAGGGGTTGATCAAGGATCAATTGCTTGCTTTGCATGTTATTGGACTCAAGACAGGCTGGACTGATTGCAACCTTTCAAGGGAGCTTCACCTGCTGTGCTGAAGGGAAAAAACCCGCCGTCCCTCGTTTCCTTTCATTGAGCCCCGTTCTCCCGCAAAGAGTTCCAGTTGCAGAAACTCACAGGGGTAGTTCTACCTTGTCCTATAGGCTCACCAAGAGTCCACATCGACTCAATGGCAGGGAGTTGGCTTTGGTTTGTGTCACAGCTCAGCAGTGTTACTTATTAAGCTTCCACAGTGCGTGGAAAGAAAAGCGCTTTGTCCTCAGAAAACCCACCACTTCAACTCTTCATCGCCACCTGGTGTTGCACTGTGGCTACTTCAGTGGCAGAGGATGAAAAACACACAGGGACCATTTCCACATTGAAGCTCTGCGCTTGGGCCTTGTCTTGCCGTTGTTACGTGCCTGCCATGGGATCAGCTCCAACCCACCATGCACAGAGGATTTAGACATACGGTCTTGTCTAGTAGATTGGGACCAAAAGACACCAGATTCGAAACCCCACAGTTTGAGAATCAAGGCGTGGGGCAATGATGCTCCAGGTTCAGCATGAGAACCCTTGACAGGAATGAACTACAGCCCGGAGGGAGGGACTGCAGATGCAGGGGCTTCAAAAAGTTCTGGGGAAATCCTGGCACCTTTTATTTCCCTCTTTTTCCCCCCATTATCTTGTAATCCCATTTTCCCCGGGACCTTTTTAAGTCCCCTGGTGGGAAGTCATATGTGTGTGTGTCTGTGTGTGCGTTTGGGTGGAGAAGGGCATGGCACAGGTGAACAGAGGCAGGCCCTCCAGGAGCCGCAACCATGGGCTCTGACCTAGGAAGGGTCTCCTTCTGTGGTGCACAGGGTCCCAATGGGTGGGAACCAACTTGATGGCAACAACCAACACCAAATACACACATGCTCCAGTGAAGCAGATTGGAGCCAACCTTAGAGCAGGAGTCGTCGTCTGAACGAGCCTGTTGGGGCCCCAACAGCGATTGCACAGGCTCACCTGCACACCCCTGCCTGAGTTCGCCACTCCCACTGCCCAGTCATGGCCCCAATCACATGTCCAGCTCTTGTCTTTGAATAACTAAACAGCCATACAAAAGGCTGATTTCTACCAACTTTAGAAAGAGTTTGATATTTCTAGGAAGCCCTGAGCAATCAGAGCCTTTCAAACGTCCCAGCTGCAGCCAAGTAACCCTTAGAAGTAGGCTAAAGAGTGTTGCAAAGTGCTGTGCAGGCTGGGAAATGGCGGGTGGGATAATTCTGATGTAAAATGAGCAGCTCTTACCTGCACCATCCTCCAAGTTGTAGAGATTGCACACCTGATTGATGCTATGCACCCAGACCTGCATCTCTTCTTCAGTCTTGGCCACCAGATAGAATGTACGCGAAGCGGTCTTGACGATGAACACAAAATTGTTCTGAAATTCCTTCCGAACGAAGCCCGGGCCGGCATGCTTCCAGACGGCACACTCGCTGAGGTCGATCACGCGAAGTGGCTTGCTTGAGTGCTTGTTCCGGTAGTATTCTAATACGTCAGGGTTGCCACTCATGCGGCCTCGCCGGAGGACGAACCAGCGTTTTCGCCAGGCCTGCCAAGAGGGGAGCAGACAAGGGATCAATCGCTAAGCTCTGTCAAGAGCTGACCTCAGGCAAAGAAGCAGATCAGCCATGTACTAGTGCCACACAAAGCCCACCCAGCTGCGGGCTTTTCTCTTGTTAGCTTTATTGGCACAGTGCTTCGCCCCCCCCCCCCCACCTTCTCCGTAGGAGAACGATGAGGTAGCCAGGCCCCATGATCAGAAAAGAGAGGCTGATATTCCACAGAAGCCAGGCCTGGGACATGTGTGGCCGCTGAGAACCAGACTCGGGGACCCTTCCACTCAAATGTTTTCTTGAGACAACATCATCTTGGCTCTGTGCAAAGAGAGGGGGTGGGGGTGGGGGGAGGTCAGATGCGCAGGTATTCCCTCCCCTGAAGGCAATCGGTTGCCAGACTGCTGTCTCATCCCACCACAGGGGTGGGCCTGCTCCCTGCCTCTGGAGACAATGGATAGGCTCCTGTAGGAGGGGTTTACACCCTACTGATAATGGTTCCTATGGAGACCCAGAGACCACCCCCTAGACCACCCTCTCATTGCTGTGTAACCTATAGTGCAACCCCTCCCTGTGACGTATGTCTCTACCTGTAATTAGTGGGCTGGCATGTCCCCCAAAAGGTATATAGGCGTGAGTCAGCAATAGAGAGCTCTCGTACTCTCTGACCTCCTTGCTGCTCACTCCCTGGTGACTGCCCTCTCTTCCCCCTCTCCCTTGTTCCCTTGCCCTCCTTCCCTTCCCCCTCTCTCCACGTGGACCACCAAGCTGGTCTGAGGTGAGCAATGCTACCATGAATCGCGTCTGACTCCATTACTTGACTCCATCCTTTAACTCTCATGCTCTCTATGACTTTACTATAATCTCTACTTATTATCGCTGTACAATTGCGCCTACCGAACCTGTGATGCTTTGTGGGGTTCCCTTTTCCCTTTAACCCCACAGTGGTGTGTGTGTGTGTGTATGCGCACGCAGATCCCAACAAATCAGAGGTTAGGCGGCCTAAATGGGCACGAAGTCTGAAGAAAGAGCCCACTGCATTTGCCCCAGTACCCTGCCCCTCTCCAGGCACCAGGGAGAAACCACCGGAGGACTTCTTGGCATTGTCCTCTCGCTGCTCATTACGTGTCACCCAGCCACCCGAAAGGGCCGCACGAACTCCCTTTGTGTTGTGGGGAGCTGTGGCCTTGGCGCCCATTGGACACTGCGTGCAGAGAAGGGGGCGGGGTGCTGTGCTGACAGCAGGCTTTCTTCCAGCTCTGATGCTTAGTGCTGCATGTGGGACGTCAGGAAGTACTGGATACCGCCAGGAGGCATGGTGACCACTGGCATAGGACTTCTTTTGTATCTTGAACTTGGTTTCTGCCTGTCTCTTTGTGAGCCCACCGGCCCTGACGGAGAGGCCAGGGAAAGAGGACAAGAGGCAGTTGGGGTTCCTTGAGGCAGTCGAGAATCCCCCCCAAAGCACGAGTGGCCAGCCACTCATCACAACTGACCCACATTTATGTCTTTGTAAACAAAACAAACAAAAGGAAACCACGCTTTGAGGCTGCAGCAGATGCAGCCAACAGCTCCTCCCGGCAAGACAGTGTGAGGAAGTGAGTGTGGCTTTTCTGTTTCACAGTTTTATGGGCCTCGACTTCATACAACTCGATAGTTTAATCATATTAAGAAGAGCTGGGCAATCCTCACTACAACCTTCTTTTTCTGTTTGTTTCTTCTGGGGAGGAGGGAGGAGGGGCGGGACTGTAGGGTTAGCTACACACACACACACACACACACACACACACAGAGACCCCTCTAGAGCCCTGGTGGAGGAGTGGGTTGGTTACGAATTGGGCTGCAAACCGTAAGGCTAGTTGTTCGAAACCACCAGCCTCTCCTGTGGAGAAAGATGATTTCTACTCCAGTAAAGTTTAACTGCCTCACCATTTCCAGTTGGACTCCAGCCCGGGGATTAAACTTTGAATGTCTGAAGAGGTCAGGTTACCTTCAGGATCTCTTCTTACAGACATGGCCCGTGGCCATGGCCGTGGCCGTCATAACATGGCGCTTCCGGGTTACAAACCGTGGAAGACCGTTGGGACACCATTAGGAGCTGCCTGGGAGAAGCTGTCTGCACGAGGGCTAAGGGATCCATGGCACCCACAAGGAAGCTTGGGGATACCTGGATGGATTTGCAAGCAACGTTTCCTTTCTTGGTGAAACATGAACGGGATTCAAATGGGAATTGGCGGCCTTTGTGGTGGCTGCAGGAGCTGAGCATTGACTAGAGACCCAGAAGAAAGATCAGAGGCGTCCATGAATCTAGTTCCTGGAAATACCTCAGAGGCTTTATATATTTTTGAAATACTTCTACACCATAACCTACTTCTCTCTGTGTTTGTCCATTAAATAATACAAGTAAGATTAAAAAAAGATTTACCGTCGGAAACCCACAGGGGCAAGGCTGCTCCGTCCTACTCCCAAGCCCTCTGTCCAGAAAGATTCCCCCCAATCTCCAACACCCTCCCGCCCTTAGTCCCATACTCTAAGTAGAACCCGAAACTCGAATCCCAGAACAACTCCCCACCGGACAAATGACAGCAAAGCAAAGCAAATATAACCGACCAACAAAACAAACGACCACCACCACCCCCGCCCCCAATACTCCCAGCCCCACCCCACAACATTTAGCCACACCCCTTTGAAGCCCAGCTCTGCCCACATCCCAGAGAGGACCCAACTAGGAACCGGCTATCTCTCAGTAAACTCTGAGTCATGGAAGCCAGTGGACCTTTTTTTTAAAAAAACGAGGACCTCTTTCCTCTGGTCTCCCTCCCGCAAACTTAGAGAAAGTTGCCGATTTTCTGCTTTGCCCTCCTTGCCTTCTCTGTTGCTAGAATGTGGTTCCTGCCCAGCCCAGCCCCTCCCACCAATGCTGAGGCTCTGGGGTTTTACAGCCCCTGACACCGCCACCACCACCCCCCACCCCTGCGCCTCGACCTTTCCAGCTGCTCTGCCTCCACATGCCTGCAGAAACTTCTCGTTCTGTGCTACCCCCCTCCCACAAGCCAGCTTAGAACATTGCTTCTTTCTCATGCTCATTGTTAGCTCCCCATTTTCCCCAACCCCCACTGTCGTGCCCCTAGGTAATTATTAAGCAGGTCTCTATAGATTGACCTGTGTTGGATTTCATATACAGAAAATCATACAAAAGACAAACAGGAAAGAAGCAAAAACCCAAAAAACCAAGAACAATCACTAGCTAAAACAGAGAAACCTCAACTGAAAAAAAAAAAAAACAGAAAATATTAAAAATGGAAACAGCTTTAAACTGGATCAAAGGGAAGATCAAATGATTAGATCTCACATTTTGACCTCATTACATCCGCCACAATCGACTTTACCATGTTCTCTGTCAACAGGATTGTTCACAGCCCTCAACTAAGGGGGCTTAATCCACGTGGAGAGCAGGATGCGTGGCATTGAGCAGATAATATACCAACTCTTGCTGCTACATCATTGAAAGATAAGAAATCCATTTCTAAACAACGAAGATGGGTTGTTTAGAAGTGGATTTCTTATCCTTCAATGATTAGAAGTCGTCCCGACACAAACCCCTAGACAAGTCTGCATTAGTTTCATCCAGTCAGTCCACAAATATCTGCTCCTTTGCTGGCCACTGGGAGTGGACAGATGGATAAACAGGTATTGGGGTCGTGTGATAAGAGATGTGTTAAGGGAAAAGCAGGAGGCTGTGGGATCGCAAAGGAGACAGCAGTAGCAGTGAGGCTTCCCGAGGCTGAGATTGAAGTTTTGGGTAAGTATAGGGCTAGTAGGCAGGCATGAAAAAAGCGAGAACAGAAAAGAAATAGTCATTTATCAACTGCCTGCGTCTGCAGCATAAGCCTACTGGGAAATCAGCAGCAGCTCTTCCTGGAGTTTTTGATTCCCTGCCTCAGAGTGGTGGCAGGCCTCCAGTGCTCTCCGAGGTAGGTGGAGGAGATCTGTGAGAAACCAGCTCTTTACAAGGGGCAAAGGTCACGCTGCAGCGAGGGAACAAGCAGCTGCAGGGACCAGTGGAACCGCTCAGGGAGGTGCAACCCTTAAACTCCAGATGGAGGCAACTCTGCTGGTCAAAGGCCTGGGTTCTTCCTAGACAGGTGATAAAGAAGACAAGGGACAGAGGGGATGTATACATTAAAAGAGACTTACAATGCACCAGAAATGTTTAAATGTGTAAGACTAAACTATAGAGCCTACAGACGCTCGTTTGAATGGTAAACATATTTTTTGATGTGAAGAAAGAATTCTATATGTCAAGATAGTAGTTGCAAAAAAAAAAAGAAAAAGAAAGAAAAGATAGTAGTTGGTGACAGGGACAAAGAGGAGGTCGGGAAGACTTCTGAGGTCACAAAGAAGCTCAACAACCTTTTATGTGGTTTGTTATATTGGTATTGTCCTATACAGTCAAAAGATTTTTTAAAAATTCCTTTGTATTCATATTTATGGATTCATTCAATGAAGACGTACTGAGTGTCTACGATGGACCAGACACTGTGCCATGCATCTAAGGAAAAGGGGTGCTAGGTGCATCCAAGAGCTGGGAAGCACGCGGGCAGACCACAGGATCAGGTACCGGACCCCAGGAAGGGGGAGTGAAGACTTTAACTAGACACAACCAAACCGAACTCCACCACGTGGACTCACAGCAACGACCCCCTGTGGGTTTCAGAGATTACAACTGTTCATGTGAGTAGAAAGCCCAGTCTTTCTCCCGCAGAGCAGCTGGTGGTTTTGAACTGCCAACCATTCCTCCAATGGCAACCCAACTCATCACGACACCACCAGAGCTCCTAAACGAGGCAAAAGGGCTGAATTAAAAGTCAGGAGGCCTGCTGACTTCCAGTGTGACCTTGAGCATTTAACTTCCCAGAGCCTCAGTCTAGTCCTTTGCCTATGGAAATCATAAACTGTGCCCCGCCTTCCTTACGGGG